CACACACACACACACACACACACACACACACACACACACACACACACACACACACACACACACAATCCCAAACTGCATGCACACTGCTACAAAGCTGAGTTCAACATTGCCGTACTAGAATATACACGTCCCTAACACATAAGTGCATACGCATTTGCAAGAGGCTTGATTTTGTATCCAGCGGGATGCAAATCAATCGCTTTGTCGAGGTGGGCTTCTCCTCGCCCATACAAATGAATTGCGGCATTAGATGCATTAATGCTTGCTGCTCATGAATATGCATCAGGCTGTAATGTTCACCATATAAAGATGATTCCAAATGTCTCTGCTCTATTCTTAAATATAAACACAGAAAATGTCACAGTGGATGTCACTCACACACTGACACGTCCACTGTACTATATCAGGTCTAGACTTTGTGTGGTCATGTTAATGACATTTACACATCCTCACGTCGCTCTGGGAAGGCAAGGGTTACATCTGAAGGATCTGAGCCTGTTCCTACCAGCCAATTTCCAAGCATTTTTTTTTCCAATGCTATTTTAATCATTTAAAAAAGCTGCCTTTTTATGGAAGCGTTTCCACTGAAGCTTTCCAGTAGAGCAATCCCCAGCAGTAGTTTATGATCTTACCTGTTCCATTGAAATGTTAATTAAGGTCATTCTCGCCCTTGAAAGTGTAGAAATGTGCCGACTGCAAAGATCTTAAATGTAAATGCTAAATAATTGTGTTATGTAGATGAAAGCACTTTCTGGATCCATTTTTTGCTCACGTTTATATTCCAGATGGGAGCAAACGTCACCTTAATCTCAGATTTTGCTCGACCAACAGTTTGTTTGGTCGGACACTAAACATGGGTGGTCGCAATTATCAAGTAATTATTAAATGTGTAATGCAGGACAAAGATATTTGGAAGAGTCCTCTTACATTATGTAACCTTCGCTTCAGGTATGGGTCACAAATTCTTCATGCGTCTTGGTATATAGAAGAATGAAATCTAGTGTATATTAAAAACGTACAACTTTATAAAATAAAACATAAATGTGAGATAACCTTATCAGTCACATTGACTACTGACTCTTGTTGCAGTTACGACAATATTCAACCCGGCGCCAGCTATCCCTGACTTGGATCCTGATTTCTATCGACTCTCTGATGTGTTTTGCTGCAATGAGTCTGAGGTGATGAATCACACTTTTCTTTTTTTTTTTTCCCCAAGCAATTTGCATTCATTATTCCTGGCCATTACTTGACAGTTTAACTTTGCCAAACATTATGAAATTGTCAGACTTTTGGTCATCATTTGAGCATCCAGTTACAATGTAACTGTTATTGTACGTTATCAATCGAGAAGGATCTGTGTAGCCCCGGGAGGTTCCACAGAGCCCACACATGCATACACCTTTCCACAGTGATTCACCTTCAGTCTATATCCTGTATCGTGACCTCTTCTAGCGCATCAATAGCGTCACTGTATCCTTGAAACGTAAAGTACATGCAAACATTCTGGTGTGACAATGGGAATCGGGATCTCCGCCCTTTTACAGTCATGGTACAGTACCTCACGTCTTGGCTGTGGGGCGATGACAGATGAGTGAAAGTGGGTGTGTTTTGCTGGGCATTGCAATGACAAAAACAGAGCAGATGTGCTTTTTGGGTGAGTCAATCACCCTTTGGGAGTTCATATGAACTGCTATTTGATGTCGTGTTGCAGAGCAGAAAGACCACATGCGGCCAGGTGTGTGGACATGAAAGGGGCGGTGGCGAGAAGAGTAAAAACCGCAGCAGTCACGTTAAAGTGGAGCGTGCAAGGGTGGAAAAAAAATATTTGAAGGAAAAAATGTACTGTGTGAAGAGATGCCCAAGTGTTCCAGTTTGTCCGTATTTTGTTACGAGCAGCTGCCATATGTTCCCCTGTTACGGAGCGAGTAGCGCTTGACTCATTTGTACCACAGCTTGTGATTGGCTGACAAAATTTGTTGATGATATCATTGAATTTTCCTCATTATAAAAATAATTGTATTCAAGTGCATCTGATGGTAAAGGTTGCTCCTTCAGCTTCGCAGCAGCTGCAGGTTAGCTAAAGTGGCAAAACACTGTGCACACCGGCTCCTCTAAAAGTCACTAATCATTGCCCTCATCACAGCAATTTTCGGACTACAAAACACACTTGATTAAAAGCCATAACAGCTAAATTTAGCCATTTGTACCAATTCATACATTGACTGCTTCATACTAATAGTCGCGGGGCTCCACGTTCTAACATGGCAAAGAATTGAGGTCACACAAAAGGATTTTTTTCAAACCTTGTATTTACCTGAGGGAGATGCTTTTTTTCAATTTTCACACAGTGGCGTCCCAGAACCTTTTTCAGTCACTCTTGTCAGGCCAATTTGCCAACAAGCCTCATCAGGAAGCCGTGTACATAAAGTTTGTAATAGTCGCGGGGCTCCACGTTCTAACATGGCAAAGAATTGAGGTCACACAAAAGGATTTTTTTCAAACCTTGTATTTACCTGAGGGAGATGCTTTTTTTCAATTTTCACACAGTGGCGTCCCAGAACCTTTTTCAGTCACTCTTGTCAGGCCAATTTGCCAACAAGCCTCATCAGGAAGCCGTGTACATAAAGTTTGTTACTTGTTTGGGAGACACAAGTGATGTTGCTTTGTGGCTAGCCGTTAGCGCCAGTTGTCCATTACCAGCAATGATGGTGGGAGTCGGTCGCCAAACAAACTGCCAGGGATGTGTCCAAGGACCGGCAACCCGAGGCCAAGGCCAAGGCCAAGGACTTGCCTCCGAGGCCAAGGCCAAGGCCAAGG